TATTTTTAAATTTAATTGTTTATCAAAATTGATATTCTTGAGATATATTGCTGTATCAGCTCCGTTTTTTTTTTAATTGATACGTATCTATATCTTTCGAAACAATAACGCTTTAATTTGATATTGTAGAAACAATTATATTCAGATTTAACTATGGTATATACGGAACCATATCACGGTTACAAGATAAATTATTATCAACTTTTCCAACGATAAATAATTTCTCTTTGTATTCGTTGTGTTTTAGTTGTCGCAATAATTATTATTATAATGTCGTAATGATTATACTACTTATTATTGCGTCAACATTCACTTGACTGTACCGATATTGAATTCAGAACTGCTATTACGGAAATTGTGTCTACGATCGCTGTGATATTAGTTGCCTTGATAAATAATATCGTACCCTACGATCATATCGATGATTATTATTACATTGAAACAATTATTGATGCAAAGATCATTGTACCATGAAAATTTATCCAATGGCTACCACAATAATTACGACGTATTAATAATGACAATTATCGATAGCGTTAATCATGTTTGTTTCAAGTTCAAAACAGCTTATCTAATCTAATTATAATTTTTTTGCACCGTTGCACACACGATAGATAAGGAAATTATGCAATAAAATGACTTCAAACCAAATATTGCAAAATATATTCATAAATAACTTTAACTTATCATTGCATTGTATTGTTTCAATAACAAGATATACCACGCGTAATATTATATCTAAAAAATAAAGTTTGTAATTTTTTAAAGAAATTAGAAGAGGTGAAAAATCAAAGAAAAAGCATAAAGAATAAAAAATTAGAATACGTCCCCTCTTTTATTTATTTATCAATTATTTATTAATTTTCGGCTATATTTATTATCAACTAATAAGAATACTCTTAAAAGTCGCCAGCAGTAATTAATAACATCAGTGATTTTTATTGACCGTATCTGGCAATTAAAATTCTTGTTGCGAAAAATATTACCCCAACCACGATATTTTTCGCAATAAGAATTTTAATTGCCAGATACGGTCAATAAAAATCACCGATGTTGTATATTTATTATGTGTTGTGTCGTGTTCTCTGTTTTCTCAAACAAACTATCTTTTATTATTCCAATCATAATACAGTCATTTCGTTGAATCAAAGAAAATCTTTACATCTTCATCACCGATATGTGCATGACCAGAACATTGTAAATTGCATTGTAACTTCCTCCTAAAGTTTTTCGCTTGTATTAACGTGGAGACGTATGTCAGTTTCACTGCTATTCCAGCTTAATATTTTCTACTGATATAGCTAGTGCGTCGCTATTGAAGTTTCAATACTCGTGCTTGCTTAATGCGTATATCTCTAACAAAGGCATTTCCACGTGGATAAATGAGAAAATATTTTTACGATCTCTCGTTTTACGACCTTTTTTATTGGTCCGATTACGCGCATGCTCCGATATTTAGATGCAAAAGACGCCGTTACTGAGGGAAAGAATTTTAATACGATATTTCCGTGCAAACTTCCGCGTCTGTAGTGCTCTCCCGAGATTTTAATTGTCGTAATTTTCATGAACACAAAAGTATTCATATTTTTTAATTAAAATTTAAATTTTTTTCGAATAATTTTTTATTGCTAAACGGAGTTTTTAAATTGAATATACAAGTATATGTATATGTATATTGTTTAGTTTCTAGTAGTACATGTGTATACACGTGAATATATTAAAAGATTAATTTACAATCAATTTTAAATTTAAATTAGAAGATAAAAGATGATTATTGTATACCATGTGATTATATACAATTGTAAAACATTTTCTATCTATTTCTACAAATAGAAAAGATGTAAATGTATATTTTGTGGCTTTACTTTTCTTGCTTTCACATGTCCTTGCAAAACAGTTCGAATAATATACGAATAATAAAGCTACATTGACAAGTGGATGAGTCGTTATCTAAATTATTCAACGAGAATCCACAAAGCTACGAGAGAAAAGGATAAAAAGGGACAAGTCTTTTACATTTAATTCGGCGTTCGAAATTATCCCATCCAAATTGGCGCTGTCGGCCGTAGCGCCGGGAGGAAATTGAAATTGATCTACCTACAATCAGGAAAAAAATGAGAAACTATTCGGCAAAACTCATCTTCGGTAGGTTTGTCGCGCACGAGTGACATTGCACAATTCCCATTTAAAGCAGAAATTAAAATTATAGA